TGAAAGATTGAAATTCCCGTAAAGATTGAGAAAGGTGACCGTAGTTATGCAACTCGTTTTTAGTTTCTTCAAGGATTATGTGGATTCCCATAATCTTTCACCATGGTGGAATTGTTGTGAAAAAAATGCCATTTCAAATGCACTACTCAAGATTCTTCCCCTATCTTTGCATGGATTTGTGCTTTGATAGCTTCGATGTCCAAGAATTAATAGTTGAAACCGAGTCTTCGAGAGTTTTCACTAGCAAAACTTTGGTGATTTTGGGAATTAGTGGGATGTTTATACTAGATTTGCCTAGTATTTGTTTTTCATGCCTTTAAGACCCTCCGTCTTGCTCATGTTCTGCATGTGGATGATGTCTCGATGGGCAAGCTCTTTTTTAGTTGGCTTGCCCTTGAAGATTTAGCTATACCGAGAGAAGGATGGGATGCATGGTGTGCAAATTATGAAATTTCTAAGTCCTATAATAATAATAATGGAAACCGATGGCTATTTTGCCTTGAAATTTCATAAGTTTGAATTGTAGTAGATTTCTTCAAGATCTTCTTTACTAGGATTTCTCTCGGAACATTCAAGATTTGCTTGTTGAACTAAAGGCATGTCCAAGCTGATTGATTCCTTTCGACTTTCTAGAAACCCAACAAATTTCTTCAAGATTGTTATCAAAATGAATAGGTCAACAAATTCTACGTCAAATGTCATTATGATTACTCCCTCAATATTCTTGTAATTGAAACGATTGTCCGTAGTTTCCCTACCATAATGCAAGATCCATCTTAGGCTTCTAAGTACAAGACCGAGATTAATACTCCATTCCTTGAGTATCTTAAAATGAACAATAATTCATTATTGATCGATTCTTCCATGAGTTTGAAGCACGCATTACCGCCAATGCTCTTCTAGGTGTTTCAATAGAATCTCCCTAGTTAAGGTTTCACTATGTTTGCTAATGCTTGATTCACTCCTGGATAACTTTTTGTTTTTTCTTAACGTATTGAATTTAATCAATTGCTTTATGTCACCAAATGCTTAATTTTCTTCTTGCAGTCTCTATTTGTCGTTGTTCATGATTCCGCATTGCCCACATCCCGTCATCCGACGAAACCGGTCCATATATATGTCGGTGATAATCGGCTCATCGACTGAGAATTGCTGCCGAACTTGCTCATGAACTCGTCATAATTTGAAATTCTTATTTTTCAGAAATAAGTGGATTCAATTTCATTTTAAGCCCAAAACACTAAGAGTACGGTTATCGATATATGATGCATGTTTTGGTATTTTTCCTCTACGGAGAGTAATTAGTGTTACTACATTAAATGGATGGGATTTCGGTGACTTTAATTGGCAATGGCCAGTTGAGGAAACTCGGTGTTTGCTTCTAGTCCGAAGACGATTGTGCTCAACAACTTTTTGGGAATCCTAGCCGAGGAATATTTTGTAGAATATTTGCCGGAGTGCGCAAAAGTTTTGGAGAGGATGTCAAATTCAAAATCGCATGAATTTTACTCATGTGAGGAAAGGGAATGGATTCTGCAGTTTGATAGGAACGGAATTCAGAATTGTGTTGATCCTTGTTAGAGGACACCGAATTTTTAAAATCTTCATCCTTGGATTGACCTATACATCGTTGATAAGGTGATTGGCCCTATGCGATCGACTTTATTTTTCAAATCTCATAATACTCGCTTAAGCCCTAATGCATATAGTTCTCACTAGTGCATTTTCTTTTCGGTTTCAATCAACAAATTCGACAAAACCTAACGAGTCAACACTTTCTCATCTCCGAGTATTGCATTTATCTAAACGTGTTTGAAAAGTTATTGCAATTAGGGATGATCATTCAGTTTTTTTTTTTGTTTTTTTTTTCGCTTAACCGAATTGATTAAAATCAAAAACGAAACCAATTAAGCCGAATTGGGATTTGGTTTTTTTATTAAAAAACCAAATTTTTCGATTTGGTTTTTTACTTTTCGGTTAAAAATTATTTTTTTTATCTTTTCTTCGAATTTTGAATTTTTTTCTTGAACTCGTTGTCGCTTTTTTAATACAATTAGATAAGCAATAAATCCAATCTAATCGTGCAACAAAGGGTAAGAAAATATCGTTCCCATGAGGAATTAAATTGCACTACTAAAATTATATAACTTAAAATAAGTTGAATTAATCAAAACAATAAAAAGAATAAAAATTAAATTAGAACTTTATTCTAAATTTACAGAATTGAAAATCACTAATAAAATGTTATGAAAGCGACTCGGGATAGATTCATTTAATTCTAACTTATACAATTAATTTTATTATCTTAACTCACAAATCACCTTAAAATTTATCTTAATATATGTGACGACGGAATTCCCCGAACAAGTTAATAAGCTATCTCTAGTCGGATTAACCATATTCTTCATTTAACAAATCATACATATTTTTATGTGACTTAAATTAAGATCTAAATGCATTAGAATCAATGGAATCCTCTAATGTAAAATAAGCATACCATCACACATTTCTTTTTTCCATTATTGCACTAGAATAAGTTATCTTTCGATTAATAGTAAACTAGTGATTTATATGATTATAATCTAACACATACAATTCCCTCTCGGACTCAAGCATATGTCATTAAATCAATAAGAGGTGATCACTTTCTTAAGATATTAAATGCACTAATATAAATTCATCATACATCAAGAATCGGGTTTTGAATTGAGAAAAATAATTAATCACGTAGAATAAGAATTAAAATCATCAATTCCTAACTTAAGAGTTTACCTCAACAGAAAAAAATTTACTAGATCTAAAAATAAGATATTACATTGACAATCCATCAAATAATAATAAAAAGAAAATCAATTACTTGTCTAATGTATCTGCTATTCCTTCCCCCTCTACCGTCCCAGTTTGCTCTCTGGCGACCTGTGCTTTATTTTGCTCTTTGCTGCCTCAAGCCGTGCCAGTTGCCCTGTGAACATACAAACCTTTTGTTGGTTTTTCTTTATGCTTATTAGTGTCGTCCCTTCCTTTTACCATGGCTATAACTGTTTCTTTTATAGTCATAGACTCCTTTGGCTAGTCCACCACGTCACTTTCCCTTTTTTGTGTACACTGTCGTGCCTAAAGTCCACCTTATCATGCTATTTCCTTTATAGCTAGCCTCTCCTTTCCTTAGTCCAGCACGTAAGTCTCCTCATGAATTGATTTTTTAAAGTGTCAAGTCAAATATGTTTTTCTTTTTACTCTTTAATTCTTGTTTTTAATTTTTACTTTCATTCCAGCCCTTATTTTTACCTTATTTCTTTAATCTTTCCTCTGCTCTTTATATCTATAATTTATATCAAATAAAACATAAATCATATATATAATTAATAAATTCAAATTCAAAGTTTATATAAAATATACGTATAAATTATACTTATCATGAGCCAAGCTAAAAAGTTATTTTTTTTATAAAACAAAAAAAAATTTTGATTTTCAAAAAATATTAATAATTTGATTTGAAATTTTAACAAAGAGAATCATAATAAAATATTATGAGCTTTGGGTAAACGTGTTAAAAAAATATATATATATACTAAAACGTGTTTGAAAAGTTCCTACAATCCACAGGCAGATTCAGAACTTGCAAGTGTTTCTCTATAAAATGCTATTACATCACACGACTATGCATTTAATTGAACTGTTTCAACGTGCTTTAAATGATAAATTTATATCAAATAATCCAATAGATTTGAATCTGTGAACTCCATTCTAAGAATGCTGTATATAAAGACAATGAAGTTCACATACGTGGCCGAAAATTTCTGTATTCTGAAAGTAGAAAATTTCAGCAAGGCAATATTTTTATAGTAACAGAATAGAGAAGGCATATCAAGAATATATGATTAATCCATAAATACAATATTATTGTTAATCGTTTTCAGTGGCCTTGATAAGGGTGACGATAGCTAAGGAATCAGAATCAGTTTCTAACCCTGCCTACATTCAACTTGGAACCTTTCTCCCAAGCACGTCATGAATCAAAGCCATTCATTTGCGGTTGTGCTCCCCTAAGATGCAATCAAAGCTCCTTCTGTGTTGATCTTAATCCAGTCAAACATAGGAGCTAACAAGTCTCCTATAACGGATCAACAATTGATTTGATCTAGAAGGAAATTCATTTTCAAAGAGTTACCGTCAAACATGGATTTGTTGCCTTTTAGCTTTTGACCAAGTTTCCTTTTCCCATCATAAAATGACAACACCCCACTAGACATTAAGTTTCCAAGCAGCTAGAAATATCATATGTCTATTATATGACTTTAAAAGACTTTTTTGGTTTTTTTTTTATTTTTATTTTTAATTTCAATCAAGTCATTTCAATTAAAAAAAATATTTATAATAAAAAAATTAATGAAAAAAAATAAATTTAAACATTATTTAAAACCATAATATATAGAGTTATGTTGAAAGCGCAGAACATTACAAGAGAACAAGTTGAACTATTAGTGCAAAGCTCTAAGGCACAATATCCAACAACTATCATCACCCTTTTGGGTATCTTCACAGAGAGCTGTCAATTGCCATGTGTATAGACTATAGTGTGCCCAGGATTTCAATCGCCAGGATTGGAATTTTTGGAAGGCAATTTGAGGTTGCAGCTCGTGTTTGACAGACAGCAGTCAAGTTGCATTATTTCTACTCTATCAAAGACAATAAATCATGCATTTTGAAAAGGAACAAATTTTTTTTTCAGTCAGTTATGAGTTTACTTTGAATCCACTCTAAATGAATTCAACCCTGGCGCAAGATAATAGAACCACCTACTACCCACGAAGGTTCAAGCCAATTTACAATATCGGTCAAGCCTAAAAGACGACAAATTCCAACCATAATGCTGGCAATATAAGGCTTGCTGTGATCTCAAGTTTGGTGCAACAAGTTATTCCAAACTCTCTCTACCTATCATACTTCTTTTTTTTTCTTGAATATTCTTCTTTACTGTTAGTCTTATTCCTAGTTCGATGGAGAGAAGAGAAATCACCGAAAAGGAGGCAGAGCAGATAGATGTTGAATCCCAAGAGTTGGTCCAAAACCTGCCAACAGAAATAGGCATGGGAGGTAATATTCTCTATCAATACCAAGGATTCTGGTGTCCAAAAGTATCAATTAAGGGCATGATGTTGTTTCAACACCACTTCAAAGCACAAAAAACTGACATCATCCTTGCTAGCATTCCAAAATCAGGTACCACTTGGTTAAAGGCCTTGGCTTATACTGTAGTCAATCGCTCTCATTACTCACTTGAAGAGAGCCCTTTGTTTACCAACGGCCCTCATGGGGTTGTACCCTTTCTCGAGTTTGATTTCAGCTCCAAAAACCAGTTTCAGGAACTAGACAAGCTTGCCAAGCCTAGAATTTTTGGAACTCACTCACCTTACTTGGCACTGCCCCGTTCAGTCAAAGAATCTGCTACTAAAATCGTGTATGTGTGTCGGAATCCTTTAGACATGTTCATTTCCTATTGGAAATTTAGTGGCAATATTCGAAAGGAAAATGAGAAACATGTTTCACTGGAAGATGCTTTTGACAAGTTTTGTCAAGGAGTTCATGGCTATGGTCCGTTTTGGGATCATTTGTTAGGGTATTGGAAGGCAAGCATAGAGACACCTGATAAGGTCTTGTTTCTTAAATACGAGGACATGAAAAAGAACAATGTCTTTCACATTAAGAAGCTGGCTGATTTTCTGGGGTTTCCTTTTTCTGTGGATGAAGAGAAGCAAGGTTTGATCGAAGAAATATCGAAGCTATGCAGCTTTGAAAGCATGGAAAACTATGAAGCAACCAAGAGTGGCACAGGCCCTCTTGGAATTCCAGCTAGTGCCTTCCTCAGGAAAGGAAAGGTGGGAGATTCACTGAATTATCTAACACCTTCAATGGTGGGCCGTGTGGAAAATCTTATTCAAGAGAAGCTGCAAGTTTCTGGTTTGAGTTTCTGTATGTCTGATAAACTCCAAAATGGTGCTTGAGCTTTTGTCCTTTTTTATCTTTTGAGTTCATATCGTAGCATTTATAAGGTCATGGCTGTAATGATCTTTAAACGATGTTTTGAAAAACAGCGTAGTATGGAAGATGAAAGAACTGAAATAAGAGGAGAGAGAGTCAAACTAATGATTTCTTTTTTGTTGTTTGGATATGCATGGAAGGAACCCGTAGAGAAAATGAAAGAAGTCCTTCACTCAAAGAACTTCTATATATATTTTCGGACTAAAGGATCTAACCATCATGAATTTCAAGTCATTTGAAGTTTGAATATTGAATGTTTTTATTAGTTTGTAAGATTTTTAAATTTTTAATTTTTTATCATTTATTTCAAAAAAATAATGCTCACATAAATAATTTTATAATAAAAATCATCTAATAAGATTTATGTGGACGTACTCAAAAAATTTAAGCTCATTTTAGAGTTATTTTTTATTTTTCTGATTTTCTATAATTTTAATATTTAATAAATAAATAAATAAATATAGTTTTCGATTTTGAAAAATTCTGAAATTTATCTATAAAATGGATTGAATTTTTTAAAATTTATATGAAAAATTTCAGATCAAAATATCAAAAATTAAACTTTTTATAGAAAAAATGATAACTTAAAATAATTAAATAGACTAAATCTAAAAAAATTAAAAATTTAAGAATATCCAAAACCAATAAAAAATTTAAACAAATGACTTAAAATTTAGAAAAAATTCAGGAATGTAGCCTATATTTTAAACTTTACACTGTACCAACACATTTCAAGGATTGTCCCAAGGGACCAAGAGACTGCTCCAGAAAATTATTCCCTAATAGTTTACATTAAAGAACGTTATCTAGAAAAAGATAAGAACACGTAAATAAAGAAATAAAGAAGCCGAAGAACGAATCATGCAAACAAATAGAAAAGATGAAGAAAGAAAGTTTCTGATTTACCCAGTAGGTGTAGAGTCTAATTTTTAATAATGAGAGGATAGATAGATAACGATGGAGGAGTAACCAATCATGCAGCCCATAAAATTTAATGGCAAAGCTTGTGTTAGTACAGCATACAGTGACAGTGGCGTTGAAGAAATGGACATTGGTGTTGTCTTTATGCGAGTGAGTGGGTTCTTTTGTGTTGATCATGATCACGTGTGCTATCATATATGGTCGGTTTGCAATGAATGATAAGTTTGCAATTATTTGGATTTTGATTGAGTTAATTATTAAGGAGGAAAAGAAAGACAGGGTTTTTATTTTTTTATTTTTTTTAATTGAAATATGATCGGATTTGTTAACGCAAAGATGGACTCGATTGTTAATTAAAAAAAAAAAGAGTTTGGTATTCAAATTGAAAAAAATTAAAGGTTAGATATTAGTTTTTATTTGATCAAAAATTCATGATATTTTAAAACCAATTAATCATTTAGCAATATTCATAGATCTATTGAATTATATATTTGACAAACAAAATAAATTTTTGGATTGAAATAGTTTTATATTACTCTCAACACATCTATTTAAGTAAAAGTTTTTTTGATTTTGAAAAATTTCAAAATACATTGATCTATTGAATCATATATCTCATAAACAAAGCAAATTTTTAGATTGAAATAGTTTTATATTACTTTCAACACATCTATTTAAGTAAAAGTTTTTTTAACTTAAAATTTACACAAATCTACCACTACCTCGTGTTTAATTATTTAATTTTAATTTAAAAAAAATGTGAAGGTTGTAAGATTCAAAAAAGAAGATAGAAGTTTTGATTTAAACTAGTAACTATTTCATAAGAGAATGTGAAGTGGTGAAATTCAAACTCCAAATCATTTGGTTATTAAAATTTTAATATTATGTCAAAAAAAATTTTAACTTTTGAATGAGATTTTTATAATAGTTTTATATTATTTTTTTAATATAAACCTTCACCCGCCACTAAAAAGGAAAGATAAATGACTCGAAAATCTCATGCTTAAAAATCGAAACCGGTCAAAGTACTAGTTCTCATCCATCATGTCCATTATTTACTCCAAACATCAAGGATTGGGAGATAGGATATAATTTTAAGTTTTTGAATTGAAGGATTTTTTTTTTTTTCTATTGTCAAGGAATTTTGTACACTAATTTAAAGAAGCAATATTGATTTGTGTTTCCTATACAACGCAAAATGCTTAAGTAGAAAATTTCAAGGCAATATTTTTATTGTAACGAAACACTTTGTATGTATAACATCCTTTCTTCTCCATCTATTGTGATGCGAGTGACGCCTATCTCTCGATTGACGACTTTAAACCTAAGCACACGAGTACATAAAAAGAGAAACAATTACGTACTTTACACAAACACTCATATTGAGATGATGCCAATTGGGAATAAACAATGAATATTGATTTTAGACTCCGGTAATGTTAGGATTTTGCTTTCTTTGTATGATATTGAATCTCTTTGGCGGTAATTATGGATGAGAAACATGCATGATTGTTGAAAAATTTTAGATGCACACATAGCGAGTCACCATCTCTCCCACTATCGCATGCATAACCTAATGAGT